GGTGATGGGCACTCACCCACCCAGAAGCTCCTTTCATGCAGCTAAGGTGGGGTCCCATGGCCTGGCCTGGCCGCCCCTCCACACAGCTGCTCCTGCTGATTTACCACTGTAGCTCTGCCTGTAAAGGTCCCAAGAGATCAAGTTCAGCCTAGTCCTCTCTCCTTAAAGACCAGGAAACCAAAGCCCAGATGGGCAGGGACCAGCTGAGGTTGACCCGCTAGCCAGGCCCCCTTCTCAGGGCCAGGGCCTGGGGCCTGGCTGGAAAAGCTGCAGGGTGGCTGTTGGCAGCCATGGGGGAAATGCCAAGTGTAATTGGGCTCATTAAGGGTTTGCTGAGGGAGTCTCCATGCCCGACTAAAGATGGGAACAGGCCTAGAAGTTTCTCCTCCAGAAACCCCTTTGGGAGAGGCCATCTTCCCTGGCCTTCTGGGAGACAACTCTCTCCTCTGTATGCTGTGGCCTTTGACCCCGTTCCCTCTCATCCTCTGCAAGCAGAGGGTCTTTCTGAGAGCAGCAGCTGAGGGGTCCACGAAAAGAAAAGGGTTCTGAAAGGCATGCATCGTCCATCCAGAGCCAGAGGGTGGAGAGGGGACTCTGGGAGCTGTGTCTGCCTGCTCCCCCCGTCACCCATGTGAACAGATACAGACCAGACTGAAGCCTCTACCTACTCTTTCAGAGGCTGAACCCTTATCATGGATGCACCCCTTCTATCTGCTTCAGCCTGAGTCCCTCTCTCAGGAGAGGTGGGAACAGGGAGCTGTACCCCCATTCCTGGGTACACCGGACAGATGGGTCCATGTGTGTCCCTTCTCTCTTTCATCTTGTCCTTCCATCTGGCCTCCTTGACTCTGATCTTATCTCTTCTCACTCAGTGCGTGGCACCTCCCTGCCTGGCCCCAGTGTCCAGACCGCCTCTCAGCTAGGCGCTTTCTGCCCCCCATCTTGTCTTCTCTGTCTCTCTCCACAGATGAGGTAACAGCTCTTTAGCCCCTTCCAATGCCTCCCCTTCCTTGGCCCTTAGAGGAGGGAAGGGAAGATTTCCTATAAGGAGTCTTTAGCTCAGGTTCCCACCACACATTTACCCGGATGCACAGCACCCTGAGTCTCAGGGCACACTCTCCAGCTGTCCCTCCTCTGCTTTATCCTTTGTCTCAGCCACAGTCCAGGCTAGATAGGACTGGGGTAAGGTCGGGAAGTCTACTGACCTTGCATCCCCAGCAGATAACCTCTGGGGGCCAACAGCAGTGGGGGGGGAAGGGGGGAGGGGAGATGACCACCTATTCCTGGAAGCCTCTGAGCCCAGTGCCCACTCCCCAGCTCAGGTGACCTCAGCACTTACCCAAGAACATTCTCAGCCTAATATAGCTGGTATCTTGTCATGATTCCCTTTGAGTCTGTGAACAACCTCCCCGCATTGGACCCCACTAGGCTGTTCAATGAAGAGAGGTGGGACAGGGCAGTGGTTAAGGGCTCTGGGTCAGACAAGTGCAGTTCAGGTCTAGTTGGGAATCCTGGTGTTCTCTAATCTGTGGGGGCGCGCGGCAGGTTCCTAATAGTGCCCACCTCATGACGTTATTGCGGAGTTTTAAAAAGATCTTATGTGCAAAGACACACACAGTAAGCTCTCACTAAATGGACTTTGCCATTAGAAAGACAGGATCTGGGGCTGGAGAGATGGCTCAGCAGTTAGGAGCACTTGCTGCTCTTCCAAGGACCCAAGTTCAGTTCCCGGCACCTACGAGGGAGCTCATTCCAGTTCTAAGAGATCTAATGCCCTCTCCCGGCATTTGTGAGCCACACAGTGGCATAGACTTACACAAACTCTCACACACATAAATTAAAAAAAAAATAGTAATTTAAAAAATGCCAGGTGGTGGTGATACATGCCTTTAATCCCAGAACTCGGGAGGCAGAGGCAGGTGGCTCTCTGTGAGTTTGTGGCCAGCCTGCTCTATTAGGACAGGCTCCAAAGCTACAGAGAAATCCTGTCTCTGTCAGGATAGCCTGGTCTACAAAGTTAGTTCCTGGACAAGTCATAACTGTTTCACAGAGAAACCCTGTCTCGAAAAACCATAAGAAAGAAAGAGAGAGAGAGAGAGAGAGAGAGAGAGAGAGAGAGAGAGAGAGAGAGAGAGAAAGAAAGAAAGAGAGATCTGAGTTGGAAGCCAGCCTGGTCTGGTCTACTAAGTAACTTCCAGGACAGTCAGGGCTACACAGAGAAACCCTGACTCAAAAACAAAACAAAAAAACAAACAACAATGACAACAATAACAAAAAAGAAAAAACAGAAAGAAAAGGAGAGGAGGAAAAGAAAATGATGACAGGAACTCACATAGCCCAGGCTAGCCGTGAACTCTCTGTGTATTCAAATCTGACTTGGAACTTCTGGCCCTTCTGCCTCTCCCCAGTGTTGGGATTGACTATAGACATGCTCTGCCACACTGGGTTTTATGCTGCTAGGGCTCAAGTCCAGAAGTCCATGCATCACCCATTCTAGGTACGCAACACCACCAACTGAGTGGTAGCCCCAGGCCCAGAGAAGTTTCCAGGCTTTTTTTTTTTATTCCCAGTTTTCACCTGGTTTTCCATGGTCTTTGAGGCAAGCCCCAGGCCTTGCTCTTGGACTCAGTTTTCTCCTCTTGCCACATCACTAAGACTCAGGTGGAGGTCACGGGAGAGTGAGTCATGGTCATGGTGGTGGCGGTGGGGTGTGTGTGTGTGTGCCCGCCCATGATGCTCACACAGAGTTGGATAAGCCGTGTGCATCCCTCCCTTTGCCATGCCTCCATATGACTGAGAGCCCCGGCTTAGCCGGAACAGTGTAGCTCAGGAGGGGACAGCTGGGAAGGCTGGGTCAAGCAGGACAGGCTACAGCAGGCCCAGCATCCTGGCAGGGGACACACGTTAGCCAGGAATCCCAGTGGTTCTGTGAGCCCAGAGGCTGTATATCACAGAGATTTAACCAGCAGCATGGCACATAGTTGTCTCCTCGCTTGAGCCATGTCCCTGTCCGGTCTGTCATAAATTGCACTGAGATTTCAAAATATCCCTGTCCCCTTGAGCTCTTCCTGGACAGCTAAGAAAGTCCCATTCCTTTGAAGTCTCCACCTGGCCCTTGACACCTGGGCCACTTCTAACTCTGGCATCTGGTTCCTCCTTCCTGTCTCCTGCTAGAGAGTGGAGGAAGAGTTGGAGGAGGCAGAAGAACTATTGGGCCTGCCATCTAGGGGTGAAAGAGGGCTAAATACTGGTTGGAGGACTCCACACAGCCCTGGGGACCTTCCCACAAAGGGATATAAGTGAGCTCCAGTGTCTTCTGTGGGGAGGGCAGTGCTCTGGGTCCTTCGCATAGCTGCAAGGGGGCAACTGTGATTCCTTCCACATCTAGAAGAATGGTGTCGTCCTGTTCTGGGTAGCCGCCTCTCATCTCCCTGATAGATGACCACTTTAGAAGTGACCGCTGGGACTACAGCCCACGGGCACCACACTGCACCCGGGATGGGAGCTTCAAATTCTCATGCTTCTGTGGCCATGTCAGGGTCAAACCCATAGTGTGTTAGTTTAATAGAATAGGGTTTAGTATTTAATAGAGTTTAATATTGATAGATCAATACAAATTGGACAACAGAAATTGATGGTCTCACAGATCTAGGTTCTCAAGGCTGGGTTCCTGTGAGGACTGTGAAGAAGGGGAATCTGTCCCATGTCATTCCCCTAAATTGCAGTGGCTATCTGGTAGTCTCTGGGGGTCCCGCAGCTTGTTAGGTGCATTGCCTGACTCTGTATCCAACCTCACATGAACCTGTGTGTGCGTCCATGATGCCACACCCATTATATACTGGATTTACCTGTTGTGTGATTATTCCTAGGGAGACATAAACATGAACTGTTGGCTCACCTCGGATAGGGCACCCATCAAAGACAGACTAATGACATTCTTCTACCAAAGTATAGCTGAGTGACCCCGCGAGGTTATTGGAATTACTTATAGAAGTATGAGCAGCTGCATCACCTGGAGGTCAGTCTAGCTTGATCATCACTCAGGAAAACTGAGCCCCACTGGCTGATGGGAGAGCACCCTCTCCCCAGGATTGCTGCTGCTTCTACAACTTTGGGGAAGCCTGGTGAATCGTGGGAGTTTTTAGAAGTTTCTCAGTCTTGTAAGTTTTGTCAACTTTTTTTTAAGTGTTTTTATTTTTATTATGGAGACAATGTGCTGTCTGCATGTTTGCCTGCAGACCAGAAGAGGGCATCAAATCTCATTATAGATGGTTACAAGCCACCATGTAGTTGCTGGGAATTGAACTCATGACCTCTGGAAGAGCAGTCAATGCTCTTAACCTCTGAGCATCTCTCTCCAGCCCCAGTTTTGTCAGCTTTCTGAGTCCCATGAGCCAGCTTCTTTCTTCCCGCTAGGAGGGAATGTTTCAGTTTAAAGGAAATGACCACACACCACCACCCTACACACTGGTCCAACCTCTTCCAGTAACCTTAGATTCAAACACAATTACTTCTTAACACATTGAATGTGGGGACAGAGACACAATTTAACCTGTAACACACAGGAAGTCTTAGATATTCCCCAATAGTTGAGCACAATGACACGGACGCTATGATGGCGCTCCACTGTGACATGCACACAGCGTGACCGAGACAGAATCACCTTAGCAAGCCATAGCGAACAGAGACATCTGCGGTGCCTAACACATCACAGCTGACACGCGGGCCAGAGCTGAGACAGGAGGTGTGACCCAGCAGGGACACCTGCTCTAAGCTGAGTCAGTCCTCCACCCACCCACAGCCTCATGAGTAAGGACAGACACATATCACATGGCCCACTGTCCACAGAGACATCAAACAGCTCACAGAGAACATTAAGGAAATGCGTGCAGGTTCACGGCCAGGGACTCGGGCATTTCCTCTTCAGATGTGGACCCCACCACTAGACGTGTGTGCTTCTGAGAACCTTGTAGTATTTCCTGACTGAGCTGATGTGCGGAGTGAGACTAAGGACGCAGGAAATGACCTTGAGGGAGAAGGATTAGCTTTCTCCAGCTGCCGGCACAAAGCGAGGCAAGAAAGGGGCTTAAACAACGGAACTGTGCTGTGTCTTAGCTCTGGAGTTAAGGCCTGGGTGAGCATGGTGTCACGGGGTTGGCAGTGGCAGTGGTGCCTTCTCTTCTTACTTATTCTTTTCTTTAATTAATTAATTCATAGGCAGGGGCTGGTGTACCCTAGGTTTGTCCTCAAACTCCCTATGTAGCTAAGAATAACCTTGAGCTTCTCGTCCCTCCAAGTGCTGGGCTCACAGGCATGTGCTATCGATGCTCGATCTATGTAGTATTGGGGGTTGAACCTAGGACTTCCCTTATGCAGGGCAAATAACTCTATCCTGAGCTACAGACCAACCTTTTACTCTTTTTTTAAAAAAAAAAAAAAAACATTTTATTATGTAGCCCAGGATGACTTCCAACTCCTGATCTCCTGCCTAAGCCTCCACTAAAGCTGGGATAACAGGTGTGTGTTACACCCAGGCTCAGGATCAATTTCTTCTGAAATAGCCTTGTTCAAATTTCTTTGTCTTATAAAGACAGTATTTGAGTTGGGTGGTGGTGGTGCATGTCTTTAATCCCAGTACTTGAGAGGCAGAGGCAGGTGGATCTCTGTGAGTTTGAGACCAGCCTGGTCTACAGAGTTCCAAGAAGATCCCTGCCTGGAATTAAAACAGTCTTTTGTCCAAACGCGGTCACATTCTGCTATACTTAAGGTTAGTGCTTCAACATGAATGGAAAAAGTTTGCCCAGTTCATCTGTGACTAGAGAGATGGACTCAGCCATACTTTCCCCAAACTGGGGTTGCTCAAGTCTGAGGAGAACAGGCACTGACCAGGAAGTCTCCCAGTGAAGATGAGGCAGGAAACACACATATATGTACACACACATATGCACATGTATAAACACACACATACACATATGAATGTGCACATATACACACACGCACAGGTCAGTGTAAATACACGCACACATACATGTGAACACATATGTGTGAATTCACACACATATGCACACATGTGTGAATGCACACACGCTCACACATACATATGCACATGCACACACCAGGAAGGAAGTGAATATTACAAGTTTTGTCTGAGAACTGGAATTTGGCATCCAGCTCCTGAATAGAAATAGAAGCAGACAAGTGAGAGAAAGTACTGAGAAATGAGTTAGGAAGGAGACGTTATCTGGAAAATGGGGACGATTGCCTGAAAGAGGACATGCGAGTCCAGTTTGGGGCGGTGTGCGGATGCTGCATCCAGCAGACCCAGGTCAGTAGGGGCATCTTAAGCCATGTGGGACAGGGGTAGGGATGTCTCTGCAGGCTGTCACTACCGGTGAATGTCACCTGCTAGGTAAAGGGCACAAGATGGGCTTCTGCCACAGGGCTGTTGTGTCTCCAGCAAGATCTGCATGCCCGTCTGTCACAGGATTGTCAGTTTCTGCCTCGAGGCTGAGAACAGGACAATGGCTTCCCAAAACATGACTCCGCTCCTCTGCTCTGTTTCCCAGTGCCACCTCGTCCCCTAGACCCCTCTTCCTCTCCGAGATTCGCTCTCAGATCCTGTGTGCCATGGGCCTCTCAGTGTACAATCATTTCCGACTGTCTTACCAGTGCCGCTGTATTTTAATGCTACTCTGCCGAAAACAGACCACCCTCTTGACATTTTGAATGTTCCCTCTTGACATTTTGGCTGAGAGGTGTGTTTGGAAGTCAGGTAGGGTCACCTGGCACACCCACCAGCGTCTCCAGATCTCAATCCGCTCAGTCATCACACGTCTGTCTTCCTCTCTCTATCTGCTCAGGTATGAAGCGGCCACTGAGCCCATCACCCTCAGGTGAGAAGGAGCCCCCCACAACTGCAGCATCTGAGTGCCCCCCTCACTCTCCAGAATCGTCGAAGCCTAAGCGGGAAAGGAAACGCCCTTCCTACACCCTCTGCGACGTCTGCAACGTCCAGCTGAACTCTGCGGCCCAGGCCCAGGTGCATTGTGGGGGACGCGCCCACCAGCGGAGGCTTCGGCAGCTCAGCCTGGGCAAGACCTCTGCAGGGCCAGGTCAGTGAGGAGTGGCGCTGAGCTTGGCACCCTGGGTCCCCTTAAGGAACCCTGAGTCTGTGGCTTCCCTGATACCGTCAGGGGCTGTAGCTTGGTGGCATGCCGCCTAACCTGCATGTGATCTGGGCTCAGCACTGCAAAAGCAAAGAAAGTTTTGTTTTGCTTCTGCACAGCTTTCTATGGGATCTCTTGGGATGTGGAAGTCTTGAAGTCTCCTTCCCCCCCCCCCTCCCCAGACAGGGTTTTTCCTGTGTAACAGTCCTAGATGTCCTGGAACTCACTCTGCAGACCAGGCTGGCCTTGAACTCACAGAAATCCACCTGCCTCTGCCTGGGAGCGCTAGGATTAAAGGCGTGCACCACCACTGCCCAGGTGAGGTCTCTTCTTGAGGTCTCTTCAGTTCTAGGAGCTCTCCCTGTGGGTGGCGTTTGTGATTAGGACATTCAGAACATTTCTCCAGCCTGGAGCTTCCAGGCGAGGACAGCCTTCGAGACAATGGCCTGACCTTCGGGGTCTTCCAAACTCCTGCTTTTCAGGCAGGGGTCAGCCCGGTGCACAGCGCTCCAATCTAGGAACAACAGGAGCTGTTCTTTCCGTGGCAGCCAGACTCCCAGCCAGGATTTCTGCCTCTCCCTAGCTGGGGTGACTTTGTAGGGGTTTAGCTGCCAGTGCTGGAGGGGCAGCTGGCTGCAGTGCAGTGTTCTGGGGGAGATGGGTGAATGCTTCGGTGAGAGTGATGCCTGCTGACAGGCACATGGGGTCACGAGCTGCAGGCTGCCAGGGAGGACAGATCCACACGCAGGCCTAGGAGGGAGAGACAGGGGGCATTGGTACCCAGATTCTGGAGGTGGTTTCAAGAAACCCATTTTGCAGCCCAGCTGGGTGGTTTTGCCAGAGGCTGCCCTGAACCTTGAGAGCTCCTAATCGTTGGCTGACATTTATACAGCGTCTCCTTAGCATGATGGGAGTTGAGACACGCTCCCAGGGGCACAAAGACCTAGGAGCTTGACAGGTGAGGGGCGTTTCAGGCAGAGGTCACATCCACAGCAAGTGACAGGAAGATCGGCAGTGGGGATTAGCGCTTCCAAGGAGGCACTTAGAGTTGGACTCCCCCCAAGACTGTGACTGAGTGATCTGATGGATCAATATTTCTGTAGGACAGGGCTTGTTTCAAAGGTCATTCATCTATGCTGGGTAGATGGTACATGCCTGTAATCGGGATGCTGAGGCAGGATGGCTATACATTCAAGGCCAGCCTGGATCACATAGCAAGGTTGTCTTTTAACAAGTCACATATTTATTCATTAAATATATCTACTTATCTATTGAGATTCAAGCTGATGTAACGGGGGCTCACTTTTTTGTTGTTGTCCAAGACAGGGTTTCTCTGTGTAGCCCTGGCTGTCCTGGAACTTGCATTGTAGACCAGGCTGGGCTTGAACTTGGAGATCCACCTGCTACCTGCTTCTGTGCTGGGATTAAAGGCGTGTGCTGGAGGAAGAGGAGGGTGCTCACATTTTTAATACTTTCAAATGGGGGGGGAGCTGTCTAAATCACCCTACAGAAAAGATGAATTTATTCTCAGGTTGCACTAGACCTTGTAGAGGTGATGGTGGGGAGTGTCAAGAGCATCCAGGAGAAAGCTGAGCTTGTTGACACATGCTAGTAAGCCCAGGTATTTGGAGGTAGAGGCAAGAGGATCTCAAGTTCAAGGGTAGCCTGGGCTAGAGAGTGAGTTCGAAGCAGCCTAGGCAACTTAGTGAAATCCTGTCTCCATGTTAAAAGTAGCAAAGGTTAGGGATATAGTTCACAGGTAGAGCACTTGCCTAGCCTGCTAGAGGTTCTGAGTTCAATCCCCAGTACCAGAGAAAAATGAAAAGGGGTCGGGGGAAGAAGAGGTAACAGTGAGTGGGCTGATGTGGGATGTCAGGAAAGCTCAAGAGCCTTGAACTGGATCCTGAAAGGGAAAGGGTCTCACAGGCAGGGCCACCGCAGGAGCTAGTACAGGGACCAAAAACTCCTGGCCTTGCTGGCCAGCGGAGCTTTGTGCCCGGTATGGGCCGAGGTTGGTTGAGGTAAGCTGGCAATTCCTGCAGGGGCCTTCCCACCAGGTTAGCCTTTGACCTTTGCTTCAGAGGTAATGGACTTCACAGTGACACTGTGGGCAGGAGTATTTACTGTTTCAGGTGTCCCCAGCAGAGGACAAGAGTGAAACTTAGAGGTGCACGGTAAAGAAAGAAATTGGGTAGGAAAACAGTTTCTGTAGGTTCTCGTGTAGCTGAGCCATCAAGGTTTGGTGATGGGTGGGCTTTAGGGATTAAGGAGGAGGGAAGAGACTGGGTGACTTCAGCTAGGCAGGCTCCTGGAGAGAAGGAGAAAAGGGCAGTTCAGTTCTAGAAAGAGCTACTGTGGGGGGAAGAGGGTCAGTGTTGGTGGGGTTGGTTTGGGAGTCACCAAGAAATGCGATGCCTAGCACCCCACTCCAGACTAGTAGATTTTAGCCCAGTTAAGTCACCATGTATCCAGGGTGTGTCAAGAAATCAGAGACCCTAGGCTAGCCCAGTGCAAGGTGCTGAGATACCCTCAGATGGATGCTTGGTGCCTGCCCCTGGGCACTTACAGCTGGGCAGGGGAGGCCGATATGGAACCAGCCCTTCCCATTAGCCATGCTGAGAGGTATGGCCAGCGTCGTGGGAGCAGAAGGGAATGACAGCTGGGTTTAGGGCCAGGACTCCAGGCCTCATGTTTCTAGGAATCCTGTTATTCAGAAGCTCCGGCGGGAGAAGCTGCCACCTCCAGTGGCCTGGTTCATTCTGGGACTTCCCTGGGCCATAGGGAGATGCTAGCTAGCAGCCACTCAAGTCAGTAGGGAGGAGAAGCACAGGGCTTTGAATCCTGCTGAAAACTGTTCCCAGCCCCCGGTGTGGGATCAGGCTGCGGCTACTGAAGCTCCCTAGGGAAATGGAGAGATTCCCACCTGATTCAAGGACCCTTGGTGGGGGCGGGGGTGGGAGGTGGGAGGTGGGGGGAGTGCGGTCTGCGAGGATCTCTCAACAAGCTCTTAGTTCCTATGCACTCACGGTCTGGGATGCCACACCACATAAGGAGACCAGAGGTCCTTGTCTCACGTAGCCAGAGCTGCCACTTTGATTAGGGTCCTCTGGGGCTAGAGGCTTCCCTAGTGACTGGCAGTCACAGGCAGTGAAGCCAGGACCCTCTCTTGCTCTCCTTCCTAAGGGGGAGGGGGGGGACACAGGGAGGTGGGAGGAGCTAATGAGGTAGGCATGCCCCTTTCCTCCTTGAGCTTCCTCTCTGGCTCAGGTCAGAGGCCACTTCCTTAGCCATGACCAGCTGCAGGGGTTCTCACCATCACACTTGGGTTCCGTATCTCCATCTCCACCTCTGGGCACTCCCCCAAGGCTTCACATCTGCCTCACCTGTCTGCCACCCAGGAAGCCGAATGTGTCTTGGGCTATCCTTCACTGGCTTACCCTGACCTCAGGGGATGTGGGCACCAGGGGAACCTCCATCAGTGAGACTGAAGCCAGTGACACTGCACACGCACACAGACCCCACCCTAAACTACTCTTCAACACCTGCAGACACGAAGGCGCAGGCGCAGCTTTCGGGCTCCAGCCCAGATGTTGAGGTAGCACAGTGAGTTGTCAGGACACCTGGGTGAGAAGCTGTGACCTTCCAGTGCCCCAGAGAGCATTAGAGAGAGCCGAACTGTTCACAAAACAGGTCAACATCCGGCAGGCGGCCCCGATCCCGACCCTACAGATGACGATGTTCAGTTCTCATTCTGCACAGGACTATGGGGGCTCAGAGAGAAAAATAGCCAAAGCCAGCTAGCTGGGTCTTGATCCCAAGTGTCTGACTCTCAATCCTATCTCGCACTCGGGCCCTGGCGGAAGAGAGCGGCCAATGCACGTGAAGAGAAGTTGAGCTGGTTGGTCATGGTGGCATATGCCTGCTATCCCAGCATTTGGGAGACAAGGACAAGAGGGTTCCTGGGAGTTCAAGGTCTGGTAGATGTAGAGCATTTCAGGTTAGCTAAGGCCTTGGAGAGAGAGAGAGAGAGAGAGAGAGAGAGAGAGAGAGAGAGAACCATGAAGCAGGTTGGCCTGAGAAAATAGGTCCAGCAAGACAATTATTATACAGGTGCTCATGACAACATTTCTGTTCTGTGTTCCCTCAGCTTAAAGTGGGGAACCAGGCCCCCCAGTATGGTGGTCATACATGCCTTTAACCCCAGCACTCAGGAGGCAGAGACAAGTAGAGCTATCTGTGAGTACAAGGCCTGCCTGGTCTATGCAGTGAGTTCTAAGACAGCCAGGGTTACATAGTGAGACTTTATTTCAAAAGAAATACATAAAAGGAAGGAAGGAAGGAAGGAAGGAAGGAAGGAAGGAAGGAAGGAAGGAAGGAAGGAAGGAAGGAAGGGAACCACTAGCCGTCTCCTGGCCCTCTAGATGGTTAAGGAAGGGTAGCGTCCTAAAGTCAGCCACTTCCTCTCTGACTCTGGGTAGAGTTAATGGCACTATCCAATCTAGAATGAGCCCAGGCCCTTTTCCTTATCATCCATTGTGCCACGGTAACAGAAACCTGAAGGGACAGGAAGGGACTTCAGAAATGCCTTGAGCTCTGGTTTACTGAGGTGGCTAGAGGAACCCTGGAGGGAGAATGTGAGACAGACACTGGGAGGGACAGGCAGACAGAGATGGGTCAGATTAAGACAGAGATGACTGCAGTTATGGCCTTGAGAGTGGAGACTTCCGCACTCCCCAGCCCTCTTTCTCCTCTCCAACTTTGATCTTTGAAGCCTCTGGCTGTACCCTGAGCCCTGGAAATCAAAGACTTGGGTTATGCCTGAGTCACTGGCTTGATGAGCCTTCCTCACCCACTGCTCCCCACAGATGGATTAATTTCAGTCCCCCCAGGAGGCTCTGGAAGCCCTCCCCCTTGCCCCTCCCATCTCTCTGGGTTGCTGATTCCTC